ACATTATTTTTAATTTTTCTTTAGCGATTTTGATTCTATGTTTATTAAATAAGGAATATTTTACTATATTTTGAACGTGTTTTTTCTTTAAACTAAGTATTTTATTATAAGTCTAACGTAACCTATTATAATATAGTTTCATTTGAGCAAATATCAATTACAGTTATAACTTATAATTTATTTAGTTTGTTGTTATTTGTTAATTGGTAAAATATTTTATAAAACACTATATCAATTATGTCTCTTTTTGTGTAATAATAATGATATGGTTTATTTAAGTGATAACGCATGCCACGCCCTCCTAGAGACCGTGTTCAAGGCCACAGTCACCAGATTTTGCCATTACACAGTGTCTATGCCCTGATAATATTGTTGTAATTTTAGGTAATTTCATGTTCTAATTATAACATATTATGCTTATCATTGTTCAATATTATAATCATAGACATTCTATTATGGCTATGGTTATAATTTATATTGTTATTACTGATAGGTACCCATACTTAAAATATTAAAGTAGTTTGAAGTTTTATTTTTTTGAATATTTTACAGTTAACGCAATAGGTAATACTACTAAAGTACCAACGAAAATAATTCTTTGCCAATTAAATTTAGGTAGTAGGTACTAGGTAAGTATTAAAAATTAAATATTATAATCATAATATACATGTGTGGAGTGTGAGTTACATTTATTTTATAAACTAAAAATTTGATTGCTCATTTTTCGATTCTACCCGGTAAAATTTACCGACTTTCATTAAAAATTACTAAGACCTTGGTGGGGGGAGGTTGTTGAAGATTTTATGAATGAGCCTAATATTGCGTGTATAATCGTCGCTACCAAGTAGTACGCGAGTTGTCTCCCCAAAGCGCTAGATGTCTTTCTGCACGGTGTCTATACACACATGCATGGTTCCAGATTTCCATATAGTACACATTATAATTTTCCATTTAGAATACAGCCAGTCGATCATACTTTGTTCGTTTATAGGTCGATTCGCACTATACGGAACGTCGACGTAACGTCATGGACCGGCAACGTCACTTCAAAAATAGAATACATTCGCATCTATCGTTAACGTCACGGAAACGCCACAGTCCGTTCAATCTATTCCTGTTAGGTTATACTAGGTCTAGTTCATTCTGTGTTTGAAATTAATTTTTTATTTTTTAAATATTTGAATTTGTATCATGCCTAAGTTCAGTAAAAACAACTAGAGATGATTTCCTTAATTTTGGAAGAAAACAATTGTAATAGAACTAAGAAAAAGTGGGCACGGAAAATTTTTCCAGCGAGGAAATTCGTAGGAAAATTTCACACATTATTCAAAGAACTAGAAGATGAAGACATTACTTTTTATAAATATTTTAGAATGTCGCAAAGTCAATTTTATGAACTCTAAAATTCAAAAACAAAACACTACATTTCGAGAGCTATTAGACCCAAGGAAAAACGAATGGTCTGTTTAAGGTAAGGAATAAAACATTTAGTATTTTATATTTTGTATTTTTTTGTTTTTAAGCAAAATAATTAATATTATTGTTAACATATTTTAACTGTGTTAAAAGTTATTTGGCTGAAAATTGTCTAAGTAAGATTGTGCAGATGACCTTCCGGAACTTACAGGTGATGGTGTTTGATTTTGACCAGACATAAATGAATCATTTGGAGAAGATGAGTTTGAAGCACGTGAAATTTCATACATTTGTTGTTGTGGATGGACCGCTTATTGGATGTTTTGAATTTGAAAAAATGGTATTAGGTATTTATTTGACTTGTTTGGAGCTGCAAAATGAATTTTTGTTGGCACTTGGTAATTTGTATTCTTACTTTGTAAATTTGCCTGCCCACTCTAGTTCGGATACAACATTGAAAATCAGGGGGAAATGTTTTTACAGTAGCGGCTAGACAATTGGAAAATATATCGCTAAAATATATAAAATATATTATGAATTTTATACTTGTAGTAAAATCATAATTAACTTTAAAGGTAAATTCTGAGCAGCAACTCCGAACGGTATATACAAACGATGGCAAGTTATTAAAATGGTTAAAACCATTTTTCGGATTGCTATTCCTACCACCACATGAGGTCAAAAATGCATTCGTTGAACTTGTACCTTTATGTCCAAATATATCTATAGGATGCTTATTTTCTGATTATATATTGCATACTTACGTAGAAGATTGATTTCCACCAACAATTTGGGATCAAAAGCCGTCAGAAAAACTTCGGTAATACTACAATAACTATATACTGAGTGTATTATATAAGATATTTTAAAACTATTAATAAAATACCTATAACCTGTTGTTTCCATACGTTTTTTTTTTTTTTGTTAGTACAACAAATGGATTGGAGAGTATCCATATAATACTATATAATACTCAGTTTTGTAGTCCTTCTATTCATTTGGTTATATCAGTTCTGAAGGAAACACAAGAAGAGAATTGCACAAAAATAAGATGATCATCTAAAGGACATCAATTGGCCTTAAAGGACAAACAACGTTAAGATCACACTATCAACGAACATAATATTGAATATTTGAAATTGATTATTATTTATTTATTATTAATGTACGAGCCGTTTCCCGGGAGCATATAATAGAGGTACGCGAATCCGGACACCAACTTATGACTTTACCCACTAACACCTAAGTCTTAAAAATATGGAGGACTAGCTGGAAGTGCAGTGCTTTAAGCCTATAATAGCTCTCACAATAATAGTCGGGATCGCCGGGCAATCACTATGGGCTATATAGTGCTTGCTTAATGTTGTGTAATTATGTGTATTTGTGTAAATGAGTGTATGCGTGTAGGTGCTCATACAATCAAACTAATATTTAAGAAAATGGTAACACGGTTTCCGGTAAGTGGTTTATTCTATTATTAAATAAGTTGCAACACTACTAAATACACAATACAATATAAAATAATATATGGATAGTGGATATGTTTGTATAACCCCTCTGGATCAACAAATAAAATGCAATTGATGATTATTCATATTTTATTATTTACTAGCTGCCTGATCTTCCTCCGGAAGAAATTATTTTTTTATAATTTAATTTAAAAACATAAGACTATTTTTTGGCTAAACAAATAATACAACGATTATAAAAAACAAAAAGAAACAGACATCGTTATCGGTGAATATATGAAAATAATTGGTAATTGGTTAATTATTATAATTATTATAATGAGGGTTCAAAACCGGTTTCCTTCGTCTCCAAAATCAAGTAAGATTCTTATATATATAGAAGATTAATATTTTTTTCTAGCATAATTTTTTTTTAAAATCATTTAACATAATAAATTGTGAAATTTATTTCAAACCGATGCATTTTAATTGAGTCCCAAACCCCAATAATACCTGAACAGAAATAAAATCATATTCTACTTGAGAATAATGATAAAATCCTGGATATTAACGAAAAATATAATAATATCCAACTCAAATATTTGGAAATCGAAAAATATAGGTACTACTTAAGTCTAAGGATTATTTTGAGTACAATATAAAACCAGCAATAATAGGACCATATGACATCGTTTGTACATTTTTGTGACTTAAATAGGTTGGTAACTCGATTTTAATAAATTATTATACAATGTTTATCACGTAATATATTTATACCAATATAAAAAGATGGGCAACTGCAGGGCAAGTAGGTACCGCTCTCTTGTACTGTAGGTATCTAGAAGCAAGAAGCGTCACTATAGTAACGGATGTGAAATCATAAAAATGATATAAAATCACTGAATACTAATTCAAAAACAATTTTGAGTATCAGCCTATATTACCACGTAGGTAAGTATATTTTAAGATATTATTTCTGTAAATGTTATTTATTTTATTATTAAACGTTATAGTAATGTGGAATTAATTTTTGACCAACAAATAACATTTGAAAATGCTATAAAGTATGCAATATAATAGAATACTTTAAAACTTTAAAGTACACACGAATAATATTTTAAATTTCAACAAAATAACCAAATTCGTTTTTTTTCGTTTAATTATTAATTGAACTTAAAATATTAATAATAAAAATTGTGTTTCTATATTTTTAGATTTTTTGGGTACAGTAAGAACTACTAACGAGAAACCTTGTTTTAAAAATACTAAAAAGTACATTTTGGATTATATTTTACATTTTGAAATCCATCAAAAATAAGGTTTATAAATAAAGAATAATTTTCTCTAAATATAATCGATATAACTTCTTACATACAATACATCACATTTCATACAGGCTTCGCTTCAGTTAATGTGCAATGGTTATTGACTTATAGATAATCATATGTAGCAAATCGCTTCTATATTTTTACATTTCAATAATTTGACACCTTTAAACATTTTGACAATTTTGTTGAATGTCACCGAATAATAAACTATTATTGGCATAATAAAATAAATAATAATTTCACATCAAATAGTTGTAATTATTTATTTATTCAATTATTTCAATTGTTTTTAGTAATTGAATTTATAATAGCATTATATGCAAACATTTGTATAAACGTATTAAACATTTCCTTTCAATATGTAGTATTTTAAAAAACGTTTTCTGAAAATGTTGAATGTTGATAAAATAATATTAAGGAATATATTATACTTGTGCAAATGTATTGGTATCATCAACATGTCTTACACATTAGAATCGGATGGATTATTAGTACAAAGTACAGAAACAATTTATAAATGTCTTGAATTCACAAGAATGATTATGTTAATAACATTCACCTATTATGTACACACAAATGCTTTTTTAATGCACAAAATATATTTATTCAAATTCTGGATTGTTGTTATTACATCAAGAATATCAGAAACACAATTGATACGGTAAGATGTATAACATATTGACATGTATTACGTTTCATGTTTCTTCAACCAATACTTTTACAACAAAATAATTAAAATTGTTTATATTACACCGTTTTCCCGTTAATAATTCATTTGCATTAAAATTTAAAACGAAGGAGTAAGGACTAACCGGTTTTTTCTCATATATGTTTTTTGTAGGTTAATGAATGGCATCATCGAGTACGATCAAAAACTAACATCACTTCCCAGATTTTTATTGATTCGTCAGCATTTACCTAAGAAAAGTTATTGGAACATAATTTTAATTTTTACTTTAATTTTTTATATTGCATTTACACTACAGATAGTTTACTTAGTGCCACCGAAAACCATATTTCGTACATGGCAGTGTTGTTTTCGGATGGAGTTCGTTCTGGACGTTGCAGTAATTTTTTCCTCTTATTTTTTCCTACAACAATTGGAGTATAGATTTCAAATGTTGAATGATTCTTGGGAATATCTTCGACCCGGATTTCCAGCTGTTCCTGATGATTTAACACAATCCATAACAGAAATAACACTAGATAACATACGGTTGTTACACGCTGAACTATCGGATCTATTAAGAATATTCAGTATGGGTTACGGTAAAATGCTATTAGGATTCTTTGTATTCAACTACATTAACATGCTGGTTGGTTTTTATTATAATATTATTCATCCTATGAACTATATAACAGATGAGAAATTCAATTTTCACAATTTTTTCACAAATAGTCTACCATACATTTCAAGTCTACAAAATATTGTATTCATTTTATCCATTATCGTTGCTGCTTCACGGGTACATGACAAGGTAACAATGATAATATGGATATCTAAATTGTATTACCTTTTTATATATTTTGATTGATTTTGTTATGTGTAATCTATATTCTCATATTTGAGAAATACAGCTACAGCTACTTGTTAGCAGGCCCAGACTATTATTGTACATACATTAATCAGTAATAAACAATATAATATACCTATAGCATGACTCCTTGAATATACTGAATAAATGTTAGATGGTAAAAGCGTCTAGGATTTAGTTATGTATAATGTATATATTATAATAAGTACTTATATTATGTAAATTATAATATTTAAATATAAATGTTATAATGGTGTTTTTTTTTT